TCTGAGGATCCCCTTGTTGACGACTACACGATAAATTGTGTGGATGTAAGGACAACTTCGACTGTCTGTTCTAAACTTGGAAACAAACAGGTTTTTGCAATGCCACAGTCAGGCACTGGTGTTAGCGTCTTATTGCAGTGCGCGGATGCTCGGATTTGATGCGGGGATGAGATCAGAAGTTAATTTCCGCTAGGTGGAAGCGGTGGACCCTGTCTTTCAAACAAAAATGCTGGAGATGCTCAAGCAAACTGGCAGGCCAGAGATGGTTGTTGGTGCGCCAAGTTTCTGATGCCACAAGGTTATTCGTGTTGCTCAGGTTGGTACCATTCCCACCCGGGGTTTGGGTGTTGGATGTCCGGTATGTAAATGATGTTGACCGGCAAATAAACTGCTCAAATGTAGGGGTTGATATAAATACGCAGCAGTCCTTCGAAGCACTTAATCAACGGGCCGTTGCTGTCGTTATCGATCCGGTCCAAAGCGTCTATGACCTTGTCCTGGCGCATTCCGCCTCGCATGCTTTCATCCAGTCGAGCTCAGGTTAAAGGGAAGGTCGTCATTGACTGTTTTCGTCTGATCAATCCACAGCTGATGATGCTAGGAAAAGTGGCAGTGCCATTTTTATTGGGATTACAATCATAGCGTGCACTCAGGCCACGAGCCAAGACAGACCACATCGAATGTTGGTCATCTCAAGAAGCCGTCAATCCAAGCCCTCATTCATGGTCTTAATAGACACTACTACTCTATGGTATATCCTGATAGAGATGAGTCCACCAGAATGAGATTCAGGTAATTGACTATAGAAAGAACAAGCTTGAGGAACAAATGCTGACAAACCTCTACAAGAAAACGCAGCACTCTGCGCGTGCACCACATTAATGCATAGTCAGTGAGGTTTGCCTACATAGGTGGGCAGCAGGCCTGACGACTTCCAACTTTGACACGCATGCCAATGTGAATCATGCAATTATTACTAGTATGGCTAAACACTCAAAGAATTATACGCTTCGCATCAGGGAGGAAGACGGAAAGACAGCAGAGGAAATCCTCGTGGCTAATGTTGGAAAAATTGATCCGAAGCGCCACCTTGTGACTAGATTATCCATATTTGCGATCTCAGAGATGTGATGCGTAGGAATATAATGTGGACGAGATAATGGCAGCAAATATTCTTCAGGTTTTGGGGACCATGCTGACCACAATCGTATTCTGATGCCTGTATAACAATGCCCAAATGACACTGCCCTCTTGCAAGCGGACCTCGGAAACCGCACTGTGAACCTATGTGGCATTGCGATGAAGCATAGTTTAGAGCCATGCCTCTGCAGAGCCAAAAAGCCTAGTGCCGGATGCGGAATCCAACGGTCCTCATCAGCTGAGTGATGTGATCAATCTGCAATGATGTGGTCTTCAACAGTGAGGTGATCATCGTACAATGTCGCGGGGGATATTGTGCGTGTAGTCGCCTGTAGCTGGTTACTAGTTCCAACTGGCCTATTCTGGCCTTCGGCTGCAAAGAATCAACCAAAAGCATAATTGCCGGCCCGTCCAAGGAGCAAAGAGCTCCATCGGTTCTCCTGAGCCCTCGTGAACTTGAAGCCCCGCGGCCCACACACTGCCTCGTGGTGGCTGCAAACGGCCACACGGCACTTCAACATAGTGCTGTGTCAGCTGTCTGGCTCCATTCGACCCCCCGGGGGACCCTCTACTTAGCTATCCGCCTGGCACTTTTCGGGAGCTGCGAACCGCCAGGTGGCCCGGGGCGGGAGTTGTGTAGCGAGAATCCCTAGCGAGAATTGCCCTTCAAGCCTGAGGTACACCCCCTTCTCTTACCATAAGCTGAGGTATCGTGAGGATAACA